AAGGAATTCCAATCTGGGCTTTGCTCAGTATTCTGATCACACACCTCTCTCCTCCAGTAATACAAGTCTACTTTAAAATTCATAACTACATTTGGAAAGAATAAAAGGGTGCCCTGATGGAATATTTCCAAGGAGCTTACTTGAGCGAAAATACAATTCGCTTTGGCATATTTAATAACCCTAACCTGGTCTTTAAGACATACAGTAGTAATAACAATATTAAAAAAATACTGGTGACTGAAAAAAAAAAGAAATCCAAGCTGTGCCTTAGCATGAAATGAGTACCTATAATTCTTGCCCCTAGGATGAGGATGAGAGAAGGATAGAGGGAAAGAAAGAAAAAGGGGAAAATGAAGGAGACAAGAGATGGAGAGAAGCCTTGTCAAAGTTAGAAAGAGTCAGCTCAGCTCAACTCTCATTTTCTGCCTCTCTCTTCCTCCCTTCTTCTGCCTGGGAGGCAGTTTGAATTGAATCAAACAACCTAGATTGATTAAGCTTGGATGAATGACTTTCCAATGACACAGGATTCAGCTTTAGCCTCACCATCTCCCTCTGTACATATTTGACACATGGTTATTGAGGAGTTGATGTGAACGTGATTGTGCAGTTGTTTCCTTTGGTGTCTGGGCAAGGTTGAAACATTCTGCCCAGACTAAATGCTGTCACCATTGCTGAGTTCCTTGAAAGTCCTGTTTGATTCCTGTTGAATCCTGCTTTGATCCGAATGCCTCTCAGGACGAAAAGCACAATGAATGAGTGTGAGAAAATAGATAACATGCTCTTCCAATTGGAATATGAATTGCTCGGCTCGAGCCTTAGTATTAATCTCTTGCCCTCTTTCCTCTCTCCAGTCCTTTTGTGTTGAGAGAGAGAAAAAAAGATAGGGTAGAGAGGGAGAGAGAGAGAGAGAGAGAGAGAGAGAGAGAGAGAGAGAAAAAAACCAAGAATTAGAGTATTGAATATTGTGGGATGTCCTGTTCTGAATTAGGTCAGGACCAATCAAAGCTTAAATGCTCTCTCTCTCTCTTTCCCTCACTGAACACCAATGCTTTCTTTGTGAATCTTCTGTATGGAGAGACAGAGACCCCTACTGTTTCTGACGGCGCATTTAAACCTGAACTCCAAACCAGACCTGAACTTTTCTCTCCTCCCTCAATACTCTACTGCCATCTGTCCGCTGTGATACACACTGCAGGATCCAAAATAGCCTTCTGCTGCATGTACATGTATTATACCAGCATATCTTTCTAAAGTCCCCTGTGTGTGGAAATGGACACAGATGCACATAGTCTTACTTTTGGGTAGTAGTGGAAGAAGTACTGATCCTTACTTGAGTTGGGTAGTCTGCCAAGACAGCAGTTAATAAAATTTTTATTTTAAGATGGGAAGCCTTTCATAGTTTATGTTAAAACAATGGGCTTTTTTTAAAATATTATTTAATTTTAGGAACGTCTATTGCTTCCATCAGTGCTCTTAAGATTGAGGCAAGAGCTGCTATTGAGACAGCTGCTGATTTACTTAAATCCTATATGGAAATCAATTTAGTTAAAGGTGAAAAGTGCAAGGTAGACTGTCAATGTATACATAACTGTAAAATTTCTAAGAACTGTAAAGCAAGGGGGAAAAAGTAAGTAAAGTATAAGTCCTGCATTTGAGATTATATAAAAGTAAAGTACCTAAGTATTAACAGTAAAAAGTAGGCCACCTGTACAGAATGTCTTCTGTTAGTGTTATAAAATATTAAATGTTATTCTGCTGGATTTGTATTATTAATACATAAGATGCATACTTTTTATAGTTCAGCTGATCGAGGCAGAGCTAATTTAACTGTACATAATGTTGGTAAGTTAAATCAATGGAAAATCATATTTTATAAAGGTCACAAATTGGAAACAGCAAAGTAACAAGTTTTTAAAATACCATTTGCTTCTAAAATGTATTGAAGTAAACTACTAAAGTAGCATTAAAATGTTAATACTCAAGTGCAAGTACTCCGAATTTGAACTTGTAAATGTACTTACTTACATTCCAGCACAGATCACAGGTGCAGGAGTTTGTGAAAAAAGCTGTTCAAGTTTTATGAGAAAATTTGCATTCACAACCATACTTGATCTTTTGATTATGCACAGCAAAGCCTGCTGATCTGTATACAGTGCGATGATTCAATCAGACCCTAGGGCAAGCATTCATAATGATGAATGATGATGACAGCACTGATGATAATAGTGATTATATTGATGATTGTGATGATGGCTTTATAAAGGAAGTGATGGAGACAGTAACCACAATAAGCAAGTAGTTGTGTTAGTGATGTTTTTGATCAACATCTTTAGCAATAGTTGTGGATCAGTTTCCAAAAGCTGATACTCATTTGATGAAGCTCTAATGGAGTAATAAAGAGTAAAAATGATGCCAAATAAACATGCTGGGCCTGTGGCATCTTTTCCTTTGTTTCCTGGGCAGTTATTAAAAATGGCATTTAAATCTTGTCATTTAAAAATGACATATCCACTGGGATTCCATTAAAATAAAAAAATGACTCAGCATCGTCTTATTTATTAGTTTAATAGGCATGCCACGATGCAAATGACTAAAAAAGAAAGCAGAACTAGTAAAAATGTGTGGAACCTCACATAAGACTGTTTTCACCAAAGCCACAAAGCATTTAGGATATAAAACCTGTCATAACTCTGCAGTCGGAAAAGTCCACAGGGTGAGGGGGGGGGTCATAGTTATTGAAACATTTTATTGAATATATGCTGGAGTGTTTTTCAGATAATAATCAGGTTCATTTGATTGTAGTGCAGCAGTGCAATTTACTTCGTGTAGTGATGTTTTGTGTATTTAATGGACACTGCTCCTGACATCGGTTCACCACAGCTTGATCAGATGAATGTTTTGGTATATTTTAGCCCATTTATTTTTTACAGACCTTTTACGGCAACCGTGTTCACTGTATGTTTATTGCATTTGTGTCTTGGCAGAGAATAATGAAGGGGAGACAGTAGACGCCATATTTTTTGATTTAATGTTCTGAAAGACTCCTTATTGTTGCCGATAATGCAGCTGGAAGTAGTGACTGATTGATCTGAAATGTCTGCTTTGCATTATCATGCTACAAAAAATTAGACTTGACAAAATAGTATAAATAAAATCTGGGCTAAAACATCACAAAAACTGCTGTATAGTCCTTTAAACAGGAGCGCGCATACCTTGATCAGCCCAGACTAATCTCATCTCCAGCCTCCACTTCTTTTCATTCTTTTATGTCGACATTCACTCAATATTCCTGGTTATTATGGAAATTCAAATAAAGAGTATAATGCCCGACTGTCAAAATTATAGTGTATAGTGTTATGTTATAGTGTTCCAATCTTTAGAGTCAATATTCCTTCTCTTTGTATGTAATAATGTTTGCTCTGTAGCCTGCAATACAAAAGAAGGGATTGCGGAGTGTATTCTATCCAGTGCAACATTTTCTCTTAGCCCCTTCACTTACTGACATCATATTTTCTGACAATTTTCTCCCCCTTCCTCTCCCTCCAAAGTGCCCTTCCATTTTTGTTAATCAAAATATATTCACACAATCTCCTCCTCCTCTCCAGCGGATCTGAGAGGCTGATTGGCAATTTCAGCAGCAAAACCATAGTTCAGGGGAAGAGACAGACACAGCCAATCTGAGCACTCCCTGCCGTTACCATGGTAACACTCTCAACAAGAGGAGTGAGAGCTGAAAGGGGAGGGAGGGAGAGAAAGGAGAGAGAGAAGATATGATCAAATGTGAACACTCTATTCTGATTTGATAGGCTGATATACAACTCACAGTTTGTTATTACGAGACTCTCCAGCTTCCATTTGTTGTTCAGGCACATACACATGAAAATACACGTGTTTAAAAAAGCATATGCACACGCACAAACGCTCACACTTTACACAGTAACAAGCAGCATCTGTGCCTCACTGATAACACGGCCTCATGGCAGTAAAAGCATATAAGAGGGGACTGTTTGTGTGCTCCTTTTACAATGGCTAGCAGCAGGCCTAACTGTCTCCATCACACACCCCGCTGACTAAAGCATCTCATCATCATCATCTTTGCTCTGCCCATTCTGCAGATCTGTCTGGACTTAATAAAACTGTCAGACCACCAACTGGGGCTGTTAAATAAAGACAGCGTGTAGGCTAGATCTGCTGCTCAGTGGAACGGCTCGTTAAAGACCATGAGATATGACATTAAAACTTGCAGCTGGATATGAAAAGTGCATTAGGACTGATTTAAAAAGGACTTTACAAGACTGTTTGAGTTTAAGAGCTATTGCACATAGATTCAGAAACATCAATCCTTTTTTCACAAGTAGGGTCACAGTAGCTCATTTCACTCCTAATGATGTTTTGATTTCCATTTTGAGAAACATCAGGCTATTAGAGAGTTAAGAAACAAGTAAAAATATGATTTGAGAGTGTGTGCTTGACTGACAGGTGTGATTCCACCAAGAGTTCCTCCTTTTTGACCAAAGCTTTTTTTTTTTATCCACTCCCAAGATGATGGCGAGCTGTACATCCAAGCGTCAGTGAAGAGATGCCTGTTTAAATATCCAACAGACACAGAACATCGGTATTCATTTTGAGTACATTATATTCACTCCTTTTAGCTCTGTTTTTGTTTTCTACCAAACTCTAAGGGAAAATCTGGCTTTTAAACTTAAAATTTAATGTTAAACTTGAAGTTAAACGCTCCACTATCTGCACCAGCTAGTCTGTATGCCGGTATTGTGCTGGGCAGTTAGTGGGGTGGTTGTTTTTTGTGTTTTTTACTTAAAACAGATGCCTGCTGCTGCTGAAAAAGTGGTTTGTCAAAGCGACGAGAACAAACTGAAACAGTAAAGCTGCAGGCTGGAAAACCAAAACAAAGAGCTGAAAGATTCTAAAGTGCTCTATGGAGCAAAATAATGAAGAGTGACATTTATGCAGTGTAAATAAAGCACATGCAAATTAAAAAATAAAAGTTAACAAAGTTTATTACATGTTTATATACAAACAACCCTGCAAGGCACACCTTTGTTTAAATAAGAATATACAATACATTTTATTTTTTGAAAGCAAACAAGGTTTAGTTTTGAAATATATATTAATACAAGTCTGTTTAGTGTGGGTCACAGAGAGAAGGCCCCAAGTTGTGGATGTTCAGCTGACACAAATAATAAAGAAAAAAAACAATCAAACAATTTATGATGTAAACAACTCAACATCTTTTATATGGTAAATTAAAATATTAAAATGTTGGACAAGCTGTGTAAAAATGCAACATCAGTGATTTCTGATGAAGCCTGTTTGTCCACTCTGGTGATTAAATTATGAAGTACAGAAAAAAACACTGTACTATATAATACGTTTAATAAAGAGCTGAACTCTGTACTTGTAGCTTATCCATACAGAAGTAGCTTAGCTGGACTGGCACTCTTTCAGCCAACTGCTTGTCATCTATCAATACATGATTACGGGAAAGCCTTTGCTGGTAGGAAAACAGCTCTTGTTAAGATAGGTGGCTTTTTTTGTTAGGAACATTACAAGTTTGTATCGATTTTATTGGTTAAAATAAAACACAATTTTAAAAATGTCTTTCACAATATACTCTGTTAGTCATTTTTTGTTAGGCCGTGTATTGTAAGCTTAAAACAGGGCGGGAGATGAAAATAAAATAAGAACAAATTTAGCTGCAATGAAAAATATATATTATTTGGCATTGGGAAGTCCACATTAAAAACATATCATTATAGTGGTGTTCTGTACATTGTTCAGTACAAACTATTGATCATGTAGTGATCAGTCATGTCATTCCGTCACTCCACTGAAGCTGCCTTTATAAAAGAAAATGTTTGTCCAACATCAATCAGGACATTTGTGAAACAACTTGTGTTATGACTGCTCACAGCACATAAAGCAAAGATTGAAAGATGAAAGGATGCTCGTGACAAAGGCCTGCCGTGACTCATTAAACAAAATAAAACTGAACAATGGGGCAAAAAAACATAAAACTGTTGGGACTTCAAGCTTAGAAACATTAAGATGCAGGCTGTCGTATTCACACAGTTTGTCATCATAAAGTGTCATGACCTATCGTAACATATCTGACAGGTGTCCGATCCCTTAAATGGCTGCTACACCATCTGTAAAACCTCTCTTTACCTTACAACTATGAGTTCAACAAAGGTCCATCAATGCTGTAGTTTTCTCTTCATTCCCCAAGAAAAACCAGGGGGGTGCCTGACCAGAGCTGATAATATTAGAGGCCTAGGAAGACTGAAAAGAAAGGGTTAGTCAGCATCTTTTTCTGGGCCACATCTGGTCTTTCAGAGTCTTCTGGGCTGTGTGTTTTATTGAATATTCCTATTGCTGATGTATTGGATGGTTGGCCATCATCATGCCAGGAGGCCAAGTCGCTTGACCTTAGCAGACAGGAAAGAGTGGATGATGAAGACTATGGTCTTGGGACAACAGTGGAGGTCCAGTTGCTGAAAGAAGAGATAGAGTTTAGAGAGCATGATATGTGAAAGAGAAAAAAGTCAGAAGTGTGAGAATGTGAATGTGAGCTTTGTAATACTGTATATCACACTGGTACTTCATTCATGACCTCAGAAATTGTAGCTGGTATTTTGGATTTTTCTGGAGCTTTCAATCGAATTCAATAGAACAGCTCAAGTCTATGGTGGTTATAATTTAATAATATTGAAAATACTATATACTGAGAAAGTCTAATGGACAACATTAACTTACAATCTCGGCCTCCGGGCCTCCAAAGTCAAGGAACATCATGCGAACTCCATCGTCTGAGGACATTCTTAGGCGCTCGAAGGGCTGCTGGAGCAGGATACTTTTCCTGACACCCATTTCTTCTGTGAATAGTGTGAAACCCTCATCAATGTGCACTCCCAGGGTACACTCCTTCCCATTCCAACTACAGGCTGCCAGGGTGGAAAACAAAACAGGGGTTACATAGAGGCGGAACAAAGGAAGGTAATGTAATGCTTTTACAGTGCTCAGCTGAAACTGTTTTTAAGTGTTACGGTGTGGACGCAGAGCCCAGAATTCTTGGCTGTATCCTGTGTACACCTTGGTGCACTGAAATATGTAATGCTTATTGTTAATAAAAGAGAATACGTCTAGCTCTTAGTTAAATGGAACTCGTCCTACTACTAAAAATAAAGCATTTTAGGTTTTAGGCCGAAAGTCTGTTGCATCACCTAACACTACCAGCAGAGGGCAATGTAACAACATTACTACACTGCACTGTATGTGAACTGGTGCTTGTTTCACAGAAGTATTAGTTTTCAGAAGAAACTTTGATGACTAAAATTCCAAATCTGGATCATGGAAGTTACTCAGACATTTATACAGTTGTACTTGAATCAGAACAAAAATGTTTTGTCTCCTCTCAAGCTTTTCATAAAAAGCTATTACAAAAAGCTTTCTAAAACCCACTTCAAGTCTTTTATAAACATGTAGCCAGAAGAAATCTCCAGAGATTGAGGACATTGTGCTCAAGAGTACAGTCCCTAAATCATTGTGCAAGAAACAATAAATTTTAACTCCTAATCCTGCTTTGTGAGACAGGCTCCTATTGTGTATCAAGATGTCTGTGTTGAATTGAAAACCATGTCTTGTGCCCAAGCAGAAATTGTTTGGATTAAATTGATTTGAGGTAAATTCATAGAAATGAGTGAGATTGATCCATATGAACACAATTTAGATTTTCAACAGACCAGAATTAAAATAAAAATATATACATGTTTTATTGCAAACAAAATCTTTAACAGAATCAAAAATATTACAGCTAAGATTCACTTGCATTAGTTCAGTGTGAAAGACCTGTCAATCAATGTTGACAGGTCTTTCACAGCAGTCTTGAGTTTGGAGTTGTGTTAGAGGGACTCCTCTTTTATTCATTTAGATCATCATCATTTAGAGAACTTTTTGTTGATACAATGATGTCTTTTAGGGGGATAGATCTACTTATATAGTACTAATGTACTGTTGTGCATGTATTTTTTATATACACGTTTGAGTTATTATAGGTTACTAATGCTTACATAACTAAGCACTTGTGTTTCTGATACTCATCATGAACAGGCCCTTACTTTGAACAACTAATAGAGTACCATAAGAAGATTCATTTTTACAAAAGGGTGACCCCAGTGGGAGTCAAATCTTGAGTCTTGGATGTGTGATTCCCTGCTCACTCAGGCAAGGATGAGAAACGCTCAAAGACAATCAAATATTATTCCTGGCCAATTCCTTGTGCCCTCTGATAGTTCAGAACAAAATTTGAATGTTCTACTTGTAGGTGGAGAAACTGTGTAGCAACAAAGAAGATAGAACTGGGAGTCAAACAAATCTCTGTACCCGTGGTGACCTCCTTGATGAGCTCAGCAGCATTGTGGCAACCCTCCACCAGCAGATGAGTCCAGGTGGAAAGCTCCTTGGCCAAATCCACCCTGAACACATGGGTCTCCACGCCTTGCTTAGTGCCTGAACGCAGGCCAAATGAGAGGTCAGAGTCCAGGAGAGGAGAACTTTTTCCTGGGCCAGAGTGGACCAATCTGAAAGGGGAAGAGGACAAAGTATGAGGAAAAACGGGGATGAGAAAGGGGGTAACTAAGAAAAAGATTCATAGAAACAGATGGGCCAGAATAAAGGAGTATGCAGGTTTGTGTGTTACAGAAGTGAAAAGGGAGATGTGGCGAGGAGACAGGAGAAAAAGAAGGGAGGAAAAACACATGACTCATAGGTTCTGGGTGCACTAATGTTTTCCAAATGAATGTGACGTTATGTGGCAAAACATCCAATAGTCCATTTATGGAAAGAGTGAGCATGTGCTCCTTGACTGGGCCAAAAGCAGCCACAGAAAGATCTGTTCACTCAAAACTGGGCTGCTCAGGTCGGAGAACGGATCTATTAAGTTTATTAAAAGCCGAATGCATGTTTTACGTTGTGTGAATCTCTGTGCGTAAACATCTGGTTCTGTGTGTGGTGTATGTGCACAATATGCAGGTGTTTGTGCGTGTCAACCTGGTAGCAATGAGCGGGTGACTCTTGGTGGGGCTGTTGAGGATCTCTTTGCTTTCAGGCAAAGACGGGTACAGGAGCAGGTCTCTGTCAGTCAACACAGCCAGTACTGGTCTCTCTGGACCCTGGGTCACCTGCACACATCATTTAAACCCACTCATATGGTACTTAACGGTTACGGTACATTTCACATTTATGACAGTAATGCTCATGGATATCAGTAGGGTGCAGTTGTGAGTCTGGGTTCAGGTTGTTACGCGACGGTGCATGAACTTTTATGTACTTCCTGTATTTCTGTGTTGCTGCATGCACTTTAAGATTCAACTTTATTGTCCACTGGAGTTGAAAATTGTAATTTCCTCAGGAAGACATGAAAAAGAGCAAAAAACACAATGTAACATATAGGAAAAAAAACATGTTTGAATGCTTGCATACCTGCTCTGTAATCCAGCCCAGATGTTTGACCTCCATGCCAGGTTGCATGGTCTTCATCTCCTCCTTCACTCGGGGTAAAAGGTTGGCAGCGCCAGCCTGGATGGCATTGTACCAGGACTGGGCCATGGCTGGGTCTTTTGCTCGCAGGAACACAGAGTTCTTTCTGCTGGATGAAATCACCTCGAAATACCTGGCAGATGAGATGAGAAGGAAAGAGAGAGAGAGAGGGGGGAGAGAGAGAGAGAGAGAGAGAGAGAGAGAGAGAGAGAGAGACAAGCAGGAGGACAAAAGAGGAGATGGAGAAAAAAAAGAGGCAATTAGAGGAATAAAAGACGAATGACAGAGAAAGAGAGAAAAGCTTGAGGGTGAAGAGGGAGTTTCAGATATTAAAGAGAATGTGTGAGTAAGAAGTCCCTTTTACAATATTCTCTGTAAGCCATTCTGTTCAGGTTTGACTCTGTCAGATTTCTTTTAAAGAAATGTATCAATTGAAAATCAAAAATGACACAAAGCTGTTAACTTCTAACATACAGTACCTGTTTTCTGTGTCCGGGGGGCACTGTTTTCGTGTCACCTGGCACATCTTCAGTGGGATGCTGCGGGGCTCCTTCACCTCAGCGGGTGAGAGCTCAGTACCCCTCTGAGGTGTGGAGGGGGGAGAGTCCCAGGGGAGGGCAGCCCCAGGGGACCCCGAGCTTTTAAAGAAGGCCGACATCTCCTTGATGTATTTCACTGAAGCAAAGTGAGAGTGTGTGAGAGAGAGAGAGAGGGAGAGAGGGAGAGAGAATTAGATAAAACGGACAGGCAGAAGAAGTACAGAGGAGGGAGAGAAAGGGAATTTGGGAAATTAATTTGAAGCCTCCAGGTTCAGAGATGAGTTGAAAACTGTGGCAGTACTTAAGAACGGGTTTAAAAAGGTGCAGAAATTCATGTGTGAAAAATTCTGTCTGTATGTAGGACTTATAATGGTCTTTTATGAAGAAAACATTATTCCTAACATGGCAAATATAACCAGGTGAATTACTGAACTTTTTTTTTTCTTTCTTCTCGTATCTTGTTTTATTTGGGTGATTCTGAGATGGCATGTCTTGAGCACCAGCTGGAGGCAGTGAGGGGATGTGATTCCCTCCAGCTGTGTGTTGGAACTCATAATCCAAATTCTCAGTATTCTTAATATCTTAATATTGATCTCAAGATTTTAGATTAGACTTTAGATGTCATTGACAATCCAATGACGTTTGTGTTTTTATCTTGTTTTGTGTTAAATAAAATAGAATTTGGTTCGGTCACATCAAAAAAGACCATTGTGCCTCTGTTGTCATGCTGATATGAATCAATACAGTCGATGTACTAACTGTTCAGTACTGTGTGACTGACAGTGGGACATTTGGCATTCATAACTACAGGGAGCAGGAAGGTTAAGAGCACATAACCACACTATACTGCAAAAACATGTTGTGACAGAAATCGCACTATTCATTCGTCTAATTGTGCCTATATTATTGTATCCTATATTTACATTACAGGATATATATATATATGTATATAGGAGCTTTGTGGGATTTATAAATCAAACTCAAGGCACAAAAAAGCCCCCCCCCCCAAAAAAAATACATAATCAATTCTTACTCTTATTCTTCTCTACCATAATTACTTCAAAATGCATATTTCCTTTTGTTTCCCAACGACTACAATATTGCAACCCATAATTACTTGTTTATTAAGAAGGGGAGGGAGGAGAGAGAAATGACAGGAAATGAGGGAGAGGGAAGGACAACAAAGGACCCCAGCCAAATACGAACAGGGGAAATCTGCAGACCACGATCAACTTCCCAAACCCCAAGCTCCATAATTACATGTTTTATGGGACATAATCTAGTGTTACCAAATTAATTTGTGATACTTTGCCACATCACCCAGCTCTGCTCTGCTCTCATCTCTTCTTAATGCACAGTTTTACCACTCACACACACACACCTACATACACCTACACACGAATCTCACACACACACACACACAGAAACACACATGGCCTCAGCTCCAGTCCAGTAGGTTGCAGTATGGGTTTGGCAGAGGTAGCCACTGCTGGAATAAAAATAGCCCAGAGGACATGGCAAGGCATGAGGCTGAAGGCTGAAGGCAGGGCTTTGGTTTCACTGGGGAAGTGTGAAGTGCTCTTCTTGCACAGTACAAGAGGCATGTAGCCAGAGGGCAAGTTGCACACGACACAACAAGAATGAAAGAAGGGGGCTTCCACCACTCCCAAAATAGAGCCCCTGCCAGCCAGTCAAGCAGCCATACAATTATTTTGTTAAAACATCAGGTATGTCATATCTAGGACTGTGTAGTGGCTCCTTTTCTTTTATGGTTTCATTTCACAGAGTTCAGGTAATTCAGATTTGTGTTCCTCTTTTCCATCAAGAGGTGGCAGAGTGACTCAGTGATTGAAGAGAGGGTCAAAAGTGTGCATGAAATGTCTTTGAGGGAGAACTCTGATCACCCATAACACGCCTTCTCACCCACTGTAAATCTGCTTTCCCTTCTGGTTTCATCTGTCGGTCTAAGTAATGGCTTTTAGCTTTCACACGTAGGTCTCCATTGTGGAAAAGTGTCATGTTGACTGTTCGAAAAGGGCATGACCGCTACACGGATGTAATGCTCACACGATTGGCATCCAGCAATCTAAGCCATGAGAAGAGGCATAACAGAAAGTTATGTGTTATGATAAGCAAGGTGAGGGATTGTGCACGCGCGCGCGCGCACACACACACACACACACACACACACACACACACACACACACACACACACACACACCCCTTTATAGAAACAGCTACTCATGTTCTTTTTCAAACATGATGCCAAAATTTAAAACTGGAAAAGCATTTAGGGATTACAGTGTATGTCTGAAGGAGCCTTAAGCTGCTGCAGAAAAGGGCATGACCTAAATGCTGAAAACTATAAACATACAGTAGCTCCTCTGAGTCAGCTGAGTAGTTACTGTCTTCCTGGCTGCACCTCTTTTCCTTTTGAAAATTCTTATTCTTTCTCAATGATTTCCAATCTGTCTCTAATCTCAGTTCCTTTTTAGTTCGCTTTGGCTTTTTCAATGTCTAAAAGCTGAAAATGTCTCATCATTAAAGGGTTTTCTCTCAAATCTATAAAGAATAATTTAGAAGAATGACTTTTTCCCCCCCTACTTTGGATTAAGAGTATTGAAACTGAAATGAAATGCCTGCCTTTTATACTCACACTCTCACACTCACTTACTCCTTGCTGGTTTAACAGCGTCCTTTTCATATATATGGTCTACCAGTATGGTTTCCTGGGACAAACATTTACGACCCACACACAGTCTGGGTTTAACGCAAACACTTACTCACACACTTGGCTAAGCAGTGCACGCACACACACACACACACACACACACACACACACACACACACACACACACACACACACACACACACAAATGAACACAAATTCCAAAAAGATATTTATGGTGTAGTGCATCAACCCTCATTACTTGTTAGATAACTGGCTTGGTGTCTGTAGCATACAGTACAAAAAGCTTTCATTGAACTCTTGCTCAAATTTGTGCTCGTTTTTACTTTGACAGATAGTTCTGGATTTAAATCAAAGCTTGTTTGATTTTATTTCGGCAAATTTCGAAGATGGATGCTTGTGTTTGAGAATTCTGACAAATTGGTTGGATACAGAAAGTTTGTGTTTCCTCAAAGTAACAAGGTTTTTACATTTTGCATTGGTACCAAAACTCAGGTATCACAGGTATTTAAATTTTTACCCAGACATATAGGTATCCTAGCAGTGTACTGAAGTTGTACGAACTAGTTGGTACATACACCCACCTTACATGACCCTAATGTATAAGTGTCTCCCATTTCTACTTCTAAATTTCACTTGTTTACTTGCCTCATTTACACTATGCAGAATCAGCTCAATGTCCCGAGTAAAAAAAATGTGCATTTGTAGACAAAACCAGATGTATTGGGATGTGAAGACTGGGAACACGTATCAAGCAGTGAGCAACCAATATGTACCAGCTACAGCTTTGAAGTAGCTGTCAACTTGCATACGTAATGTTTCATGGAAATGAGCTTCTGTCCATTTGTTCTTGTGCCAACCCATTGATGTTTGTACCACGGGGTAGCCAACTGCCTCCTTGTTGCTGGACCAAGGCCATTCAAAATTGATGTGGTCAATCTCAATATGGCAGGCAACGACACAAGACCAGGAATGTAAATGGGATTGCGTACATTATTGTTTTGAGTGGAAGCCATCGTAGAAGATCTCTTGAACCTTGCAACTATACTGAAGCTGCAGGATTTTTTTAATAAAGTCCCAGTCCCAGGAATCACAGTGCAGCCAGACAGGTAAAGACAGGCACTTCAGTGATAGCTATCTGTATATGATAAGGATGTCTCAGTCGTGCAACTAGCCCTACACTCAGAAAGTCAGGAGAGAGAATGCAAGCATGACTAATATCTGGCATGTAAACAGCGCTCTATTCTCAGTGGTCATTACTCTTTATTATGCATGTGTGGGTTTATGTCTGTCTTTCATGCTGCACTATCTGCACAACAGAATAGGCTGGGGGAAAAACACCAATCATAGTACGTATAAAGGCGATTTATTTACTTTTTTTAAAGAGACTTACTATTCAAAAAAAAAAAAAAAAAAAAAACGTTGTGGAAATGATCGCATTGGTGTTTCCCCAGGTTAGAAATGTCATGCAGTAGCTGTGGCCCCACACAACAAATGGGACGAGACAGTTTTCAAACAGAGTGGTGAATGAAAATGAGAGGAGGGAGGGAGTGGAGGATTGAAGGAGTGGAGGAAAGGACCGAACAACATGGAAAAGAGAAAGAGGTGGAAAAAAAACTGAGATCACGAAAAGAGAATAAGGAAGAGTGAGACAGGCAATAGAGAGAGACTGAGCATACAGCTAAGCTCAGCCAGAAATGTTGCCATGAATACTAGTGGCGGCACATTCAATACAGAGCTAAAATTAGCTGAGATGGCACTGTTATTACTTTAGCTTATCTGGCAGCCAGTGAAACTACTTTTGTACTGTGTGTGTGTGTGTGTGTGTGTGTGTGTGTGTGTGTGTGTGTGTGTGTGTGTGTGTGTGTGTGTGTGTGTGTGTATGAGGACTTTCTTTGCTTCTTCTGCAGAATCTGCCACTAAGCTTTTCCTGCTAAAGTCTTTACATTGAACCTCACAAATCCTGACCAGACATTTTCAACCAATTCTATTTTGACACAATTCACTTAACTCCTGTTGAAAAGCTTCTTCCTTTTCTTTTCCAGCTCCCTGGACAGTCCAAATTGCCAAAGCACAAGTTTAAATTTTCTCCTTCACTTTCAATGCCAATACTCTCCATTGTGTTGACTGTCTCATACACACACACACACAAACTCTCTACATCCACCCAACAGTCCGCCTACACTTAGATGGTCTAAGGAAAATGACAGTAAAATAAAGGTCTCCAATCAGAAAAGCATCAGGTTGATGAAGTTGGCAGTCATTAACATGCTTCTTGACTTGGCGGTAGAAAAAAAGTGCCATTGGCTTGTCAAAGGCGAAACAAACTAAACTAAAGCTAAAACACCAGCCCTTCCTCCCCCCTGCCACTGGTTACCGTGGGAGCAGCTGGAATGTCATTGGCCAGTCAGCGACCTCAGAAGCATGCTGTTGGCTCTGTAAACCAT